TTTTAATTTAGCTTTGTTAGCAAAACAAGGTTGGAGATTCTGTGTATATGGGATCAAGTGATTAATGGAAGGTATGTGAATGGTAAAAGCTTCTGGAACCTCAAGGCTCCTTCAAATTGCTCGTAGGGTTTCAGGCTGGAAGGGATATTTTAAAGGAAGGGGCTTGTTGGAGTATCTCAAGTGGGGAATACATATACATTTGGGATGACCCGTGGCTCCCTAGTATGCCTTTCTTCAAACCAATGGGTCCAAGAGGAAACAATCCTCAAATCAAATGGGTGAATGAATCATAAATCAGCAAAACAATTGTTGGAACAGAGAGAAAATTGCTCAAAACTTCAAGGAATTTACAGCCAGAAAAATTCTTGAACTGGATCTTCCTTGTGTAGCAAATAAAGACAATTTATTTTGGACATTAGACCCTAAAGGTAAATTCTCAGTAAAGTCAGCCTATCATGTGTCTCTCAACCTCTACACAAAACAAAGTAGTGTTGATTCCCCCTCCTTAAGTTTATCTGTTAGTCACTGGAAGAAAACCCGGTCATTAAATATCCCTCAGAAAATCAAGCACTTCATCTGGAACTGCTGTCATAACAGCATAGCAATAAACCAAGTTTTGGCGGGTAGAGGATTAAAAGTCACTGAGACTTATTTGTCCACTCTGTGAGAAGGCTTCAGAAAGCATTACTCATGCTCTTTTGATGTGTGAGCATGCCCGTTTATCTTGGTTTGGGTGCAATCTGAATTTGCTGTTTGGCGTTGAATTTGAAAACTTCTGTTTTGCTGATGAGTGGTGGAGTAGATGGCTGGACCAATTTGCTTATCGTTGAGTTTTCAGCTACTATGTTGTGGAGACTATATGGAAAGCAAGAAATGATTTTGTTTTTAATGGTCTGTGTCCTAATCCGTTTGTAACCATTCTCACTGTGAACAGGTTGATGAAGGAAGTCAAGACAGCTTCCCCTCAAGAATTGCTGCTGGTAGTTGGATTAGGATTTTACCTGGTTTTTGTTTAGCTAGAACTGATGGCAGTGGTTTTGGTTTTGTAATCCAAAATGACAGTGGATCTTTCGTGCAAGCCACTTGTGGATCATGTAAGATGTTGTCTGCAGAGAAGCTTTTAAGTGTCAACCATGTTCTTGGCCGATTATTGCTGACATCTTGGGTTTGAAAAATGGAGAGTTTACATCTCCCCACGAGGGGCCACCCCACAACACATCCCCGCCGTGTATTGGGAACATCTCCCGATAATGACATGTTCCCAATACACGGCAGGCGGGCATGCGCTGTGGGGCGGCCTCTTGTGGGGAGGATATGTGATCTCTTGAATGGAATATTTCTAAAGTTCTGCTTCGTGAATAGACAATTTAATTTGTGTCTACTGCTCATTGTCTTGCTTCAAAAGGTTCAAATGGGTTAGAATCTTATTGGTCGAATCCTCCAGTTTGGTTGGGCCTAGCCTAAGGGCTGATTCTGGTTTTAAAATGCTTGAAAATGAAAGACCTTCATAATCAGTTTTTTTTTTCTTTTTAGTTTGTAGTTTCTTTGTGTGGTTGTGTTCAGTTGTTTTTTTCAGCTTTGTCTGGTCTTGGTGTTTGTTGCTTGGTTGTAATCCTTTTTACCAAAAAAAATTAAGACTATCCATCAGTCAACCCAAAAGATCCAAATCGATTATATCAGCACATGTCAGAGGCACATTCCAATTAATGTTTTATATATTTTGCAAGCATGTCAGCTATCTATTATTTACCGACCCATGGACAGTTTTTGCTGTCAAACCTTACTTATTAGTATAGGGTGTCAATTGGACTGGATTTGCTCCAATTCTATCCAGTCCAATGTGAGTCTATTATAAATGGATCAGGTCCAATTTAATTTAATGAATATTTTGGATCATTTTGGACTGGTCTAATTCAATGTTTAGACCATCCGATTTGTTCAAATTCGTTTTGATTTAGATTGGTTTCAACCTAAACCTGGTCCATTAGCATCTATATTCTTATCTTATATTAATGGACTAGATATTTGTTTAATCCAATCCAATCCATTCTAATCTAATAAATATTTTAATCCAATATGTCTTGTTGGTCCGTCCAATCTGTCCAAATTAATTTTGGACTGGACGGAGTAAGATTGATGGAAGGAGGATGTAGGACCTTTTGGGTATGGTGTTCACTTGTGACTAGTATGCAACAGATCCTATGTCCCTTTTTTGAATTTTAAACCACCTTGTCAAGTGAAAAATTCATTAGCCCGTCCGATTATCCAATAATAATTTGATATACCCACACTTGACCCCAAATATTCACTTTAAATTCAATTAGATTTGAAAGGGGTGTTTTGACAATACAAATGATTTTGTTTATTTTTTTTATAGAGAAGTACGGATTTGTCTAATGCAGATTTCTGATTTACACTGCAGAGCTATAAATATTTAGAAGGACAACAACCCACACTCTATGCACCAACACTTGCTCGTGAATTGGCATCAATTTCGAACTGGCACCCACCCCGACAATACTTTGAGCCTACAAATTCTGACCCCGGGCTGATTGGTCATTCTCCCTTTTTTATGGCAATTGATTTTGTTTTTCAAAACATAAAAAAAAAAAATCTGCCGCATCAGCAAAATCAATATGTCATAGAGGTTGACAAAACATGAAAACAAGTATATAAAAGATGGATTCGACTATGATGCCAGAAAAAGTATGATATCAGAAAAACTTACATACAATCAACCGGTATTATAAAAGAGGTGATCAATCAGGTAGCATTTATCAAAATTCACAGGTGCTTTGATTAATTTTCCAGTACCATATCTTTCCGGTATCATAGATTTTATCCTAAAAGATGTAAAATTTATAAAATTAAATATAAAATAAGCAATAATTAAGCAAAAATTGAATTTGTTTAAATCCCAAATGTCAAATAACTCTCTCTCTATATATATACATACTTTGTGAAATGGATTTCCCACTTACGTGATGGCACACGCAAAAAAATCTATATAAAGCAGATCTCTAATCTTTTTATCCGTTAATTTTTGCACGTGGCCTTCCCACATGTATTATATAAATACATCCAATCAAATTAAATTATAATAGATGTGACGGGATTGCTGAGCGCCTCACAGGCATATCTATTGTGCATTGAAAACATCTCCCATAAATAATAATTAATAAGTATGAGAAATCTTCTCAATGCATGATCGGATGTATGCGTAAGATGCGTATGAGGCAGGAGGTGTAAGGAACAGATCCGGTCTCCTGATAGATGGTCAAAAGCAATACCCGTTCGGATGAGCTGGAGATAAAATCATACACAACAGCCGAATTACCAATTACAATTGAACACAGCAGTGGTTACTGTGGGTCCCATGTGGACACGTTTTCAAATATGATCCGATCTGATATTCGAATCCACCTGCATTGAATCTTATTTATATCCACCCATATCCATTTTCGCTCATTGTATAATCCACCTCCACCCATCAAAGGAAGGAGGAGGCAAAAAGTAGGAAAAACTTTTGGCTGTTTGGAGAAAACAGCACGAAAGCCAAAGTTTTTCCCCAAAAGGAAAGGAAAACGTAAGGCAAGAGGTGTAATTTTCTCAAAGATCATTATCCATGGTTAATAATTGTCATATTTTGGTAATTATACATTGCCACCCTAAATTGGGGTATGGTGACACTTTTAACCTCTTCAAACTAGGAGTGTAAATGGTATTCAAAAATCCGATTTCGAATTCGATATTTGATATAATCGAATCAATTCGGATAATTCGAATATCTAATTAGTCAAATTTGGATATTCTATTTTTATCGAATAGTTAATCGGATTCGAATTTGGATATGACCTGGATTCGATTCAATAAATATTTGAATTCGACCGATTATTTAATTTTTATATATAATATATAAAATATTTTGTATAATTTATATATATATATATATAATAATTAAGTTATATAAATAATTTATATATTTATATATTTTATATTAATAAATATTTATTAATTATCTAAAATGATTAATTAATCGAATTTGAATATCAAATTTTCTAATCAGATTTGAATTTGGATATTGCCAGATCCGATTGGAATTCGATCCATTTACACCCCTACTTGAAACTTTATTTTATAATAAAAATATTCTCCTGAACTCTTGATGTTAGAAAATAGAAAATTACAAAATGATTCATTTGAGATTCAAAATGGAAAGCAAAAAGGCTACCAAAATGATGAAAAATCAGTATCTCTTCTTCGGCAAGGGTTTCAAAGCACAGCAATATTTGTGCTTTAAGCAATGGTCATTTTGGTAGATTTTTCTCCGTCCATTGAATTTTTAGTGGACAACTTAGGGGCATTATACAATGTGAATTGCTTTTATCGTTCTCGGTTTCAAAAACAAAGTTGTTTCTTAAAACTAAATTACAAGAAAACATTCTATATGCATTTAAATTTGGTTTCAACATGTTTTAATATAATTATTCAAGATCATGTTTTATAAATCATATAATTTCTATATTAGAAAAAATTGTTTTTATTTTAAAAATCAATATTTTATTGATTCCAAAAAACAAGTATTGTTTTTTAAAACAACCCAACTCCGATTCCCTTTTGAAAACAAAAATAGAGTTTAAGAACATGTTTTTTATTTGATGTAACGATTTCTCTAAACTAAACAAATGAAAACAAAACAATCATATTGCAGAATACCTCCTTACGGGGTGTTCAAAAACACGGTTGGTTTGTTTTGGAAAATAGAGGCAACTACCGTTAGTAATTTTAATTTCATCGTTAACCATTAACAGAATAGCGGTAAAGTGATGAAATCCAAAAATTCAGAGGATCTTTATGAGAAAACAAAACTTCAAGGGGCTAAGTATCACTACCTCTTAAATATGTGTTGCAGTCAGTAATTAATCATAATACTTTTAACCCCAAAAAAATCCACTTTTCGATTCCTCTTTCGACTCTCTCTCTCTCTCTCTTAAAACTTAAAAGCGCGAGAAACAATGCCAGAACAAAGTAGTGAAGGGAGAGTATTTCGAAGGCGACCCAACGCTTGTTAGTTCTGAGCGTCTGTTTTCCTCTCTCTCTCTCTGAATTCTTTGTTTCCCTCGAAACCCCAAATTTCTCCGGCTTATCGGGCGATGGATCTGTAACCCGTTTCGCCGACAGCCTCGCTTTTGGGTTTTCAAACTCCCCCCTCACTGTAGATGCTCTTTATTAACCCTAGCCCATCTAGTGGATTACCTTTGCTAAGGCTCTCTACAGAAAACTTATCCTCGCTATCTCCGGCATGGCTAATAACCCACCGGAAGGCCTAGGCGATGATTTCTTTGAACAGATCTTATCAATTCCTTACACGGGAAACGACTCCGCTTTGGCGGGAAATGACGGGAATTTGGCGGGAACAGCGGGTTCGATGGTCCTGCAGTTGAGCTCTGGAGATGGTTCTAGCCACGTTGCCGGAGGTGGTTTCCAGGGAACGGTTTTCCCGCTGGGTTTGAGCTTGGACCAGGCAAAGAGCGGCTTCGTGAAGCCGGAGGAGGCGTCGGGGGGCGATAAACGGTTTCGGGAGGAAACTGACGGAAGAGCTCCTTCTGGAAAAAACGTAAGTACGTCTCCCTCCGTGTATGTTTCCTTTGTTGCCCTATATGTCCCTGGGGTTTGATTGAATTGACATGCATGTTGACCGGTCGATGTTTTGTTTCCTCTTTCGGGAAGACACTCGATTTCATTTTTGTTTTAGGGTAAATTTGAGATAAAATTTGCTATAAAAAAAGGAATCCAGAGCTATTTATGATTTCAGGTGCTGGTTTTCCGGTTTAGTGCCGGAAACCAGTTTTAGAATTTCAGTTGAATTCGTCGCGTTTATTAGGAGATTATTGGCACATCATTCCATTTAACCTTTTCGTTCTTTCACACAGAAAGTTCCAAAAGGAGCAAGAAGGGAGAAGTTCGAGGACATTTTCCTGTATCTTCACGGGAAATTGTAGATTTCTTGAATTAGGGGGGATTCAGTGGGGTTGAGGGGTAGGGATAGGGGCATGCTTGTGAATGCAGATGAAATCTGCGTAATTATTTTTCTTTCTCTAAGCTTTGTCTTGTGCAGGATGGAGACTCTGTGCATTTGACGAATCTATTTCCGGCGTTTGGACATTTACAGACAAACCCAGTTCGGCCTGCCACTCCTCAGGTCCACCAGGTTGGGAAAAAAACAGCTGATCTGATTTCTCTCTGAATTTCGTATTGATGTTCATACAGAAACAGGCGCAAAACAATCTGGTAAACTTTCACGGATGTAAATGTCCTTTTGTCTTCAAAGGCGATAGTGTCACTGGTTCTATTCGGAAGTGATAGGAGTACGGCCGAAAATTTACTGAGTAAAAAAACCATAGGGCCTTGACTCACAAGTCTTTTCACTCGTTGATGTCTTCTAAAGAAAAGTGACACTTCTGACACAATATTGTCTGATTTGGGTCCCTCCGGTTGGACGCTTGCAACATCCCTTGCAGCGATGCACGGTGATCGTGGCACTCGTGCGAGGGGGTGCATCTGTTTTTTATGTCTTAAGGGCATTTTTGTCATTTCACATATTCAACTGAGATAACATTGTGCAAATTTTACCCATGACTTCTTGAGAACGGGTGTACTTTTTGTTGAATTCAAGGTATCCCTGCTTAATAGTTGAATAGTAATTTAAGTGGTTATTTTTCATGGAATCTGTGCAGCCATTTCATGGCCAGCCTACACCAGCCACCGTTGCTAGCGTGGCACACCCACCGGCCATCCGACCGAGAGTGCGGGCTAGACGAGGGCAAGCCACCGATCCTCACAGTATTGCCGAGAGGGTAAGGTCGAATTATTTATACAAGAGGTACAAATAATTATGCTATGTGGGGTCTAGGATTTTCTTGAGTAACCCTTCCAGGTAATGTGAAAATAGCATCCCCCATTTGAGGATACTCTGTAATTCCTAAACATTACCAAAAGAGTTTAAACCATAAAGTAGTTTAACCATGGTTCACTATGACTTCTTTTTTTTTCTCCCTCTCTCTCTCTCTTTGAGCAGAGTTTTGCAAGAGTTTGTCACCACTTGATGGATTGACTGATTTTTACTGCTTTTGATATATTGCTATACAACATAAAACCTAATTTACCCCCAAAAAATGCTTAACACCCTAACCATTTGTGATTTTCTTCCTACTTTTGCCATATCTAATAAAACAATTCGCTTTTCATGTAGGATAGAGGAAAATCGTGGTTGAACATTTAAATATTTTTCTAAGGATATAAATAGAATACTTGCATTACAATATTTTATTCCATTTATTATTATAAGGTAAAGGAGCAAGTTTTTATGTTTAGGTTGTCATTTTCCTTACAACTTTACTAAATTAGCACTCTCTCCTAGACATTTATGATGCTTCAGAAAGATGAAGATAATAGATAATTATATATGTTTCTCATTGTTTCATCTTGGTTACAGTTACGCAGAGAAAGAATAGCCGAAAGAATGAAAGCTTTGCAGGAATTAGTTCCTAGCTCCAACAAGGTTATCATCTCTTCTCTGTGCTCATCTACCATTCCCTTACATCCAAGTTGTTTTTTTTTTTTTTCATTTTACATTTCAAATAGTTGTATCTTGGATTCATGATTTGTTATTTGTTCTGGATGCTGGTTATGGCATGTATCTCTTCACTTAAAATACTAGCTGAATTCTCTAAGCTTGCAAATTTTTGGTAGTTCACCATATATAACTGAAAAATGAAAAAAGAAGAGGGACAAAAAAGGACTTAATAGCATTTTTGTTTGGGAACCAGACAAACTATGTATTATTAAAAATTGTACCATCCCTTGGGATTAACAAAACATAGAATAATTAGAAAAAGAAAGGAAGTAAAGTGTCCAAACATATCTGGTAAAGCCAATTGTAATTAACCAAGTCATCCTGTCACAGGCATTGTTTCAACATTGTTCTGGGCTTCTAATTACAAAAAGGAGAAAAGGTCCAAAAGAAAGTTCCTGGCATCACCAAATGTCTGGCACTTCTTGGAATTCTTAATAAAACTGCATAGTTTGCTTTTTTTAAGGATTTTTCTTCTTTTATTACAGTTAGGATGAGGAACCATGAACAGGTTGGTGATAAAACTGGTTTTACATGTATCTTAATAGATATGTTGATTAACAATTGATGGACCCCAATCAAATTCACTCACGGTCTTAACAGTGAAGTCCAATCCAAGGCTGATAATTTTCAAGTGAGGGATAATTTTGGTGTGGATGCAAAGCCTTACTTACTACCACTCATACTGGATATTGGATGTGACAAATCAGCCCATAGCTGTCAAGGCAGTGGGATTGCCTTGTGCCTTGCCTTGTGTTCCTATATGGAAGTACAATAATTTTTCTTCAAAAAAAAGCACAATATTTTTAGGTGTAGTGTAGCTAAACCATATAAAAAAAAGTACAATAATTTCAAGGATGTAAAAGATAATGCCAACTAGGGGAACAAGATAATTCCTAAAAAAAAATAGGAAACAAGCTAAAACAACCACATCTTTTATATATTAAAAGAAATCACCTAGAGGAGCCCTAATCACCTAGGTGATAAGGTACTTTTCTGTTGCCCAGCCTTGACCTAGTGCCTTGACAACCATGAAGCAGCTTCAGGTATTTGGGGTTTAAGCTCCAAACTGAAACTCTGCAAAGGTAAGGATCTTGCTTCTTACTTGCATTGAAGAACTCCTTTCCTCGGTAAACAATAGCCTTCCAGAATGCTCCCTCGTTTTTCAAACAATGAGAAGAAATGATCAATGTACTACTACCTATGAATTAAAGTTGCAGAAACATTTGATATATTGAGCTTGTATGATATGTATCACTTTCCATCTATTCTTGTCTTAGAAAAAAAAGTTCTGGTAGTTGTTTCCTCCCTAAAGGTTTTATAAACGTATTACTTATTTTTATGCTGCAAAAGAGCCTCTTGAAAGCATTCAATAGCTATACTATTCAGGGGGAAGGTTGCATTGTAAGAGGTATCTAAGCAGATAATTTTGAAAACCTATATTCTTAAACCCTACAAGTAGATAATTGGTGTTAAAATAACCAATCACAATACCCCGCTACCCCAGTGTTGACTAATGAGATTGTTTCTCTCAGTACATTGGTTTTTATTTGCAACAAGCAATGGAATGAGATTGCATTGCATGTCATAATTTATGCCTTTCAGCATAGAGCACCTCAAATCTTTCAATTACCTTCATTTCCATATCTGCCAGTCCCTTGCAACCAGAGTAAAGATGCTAGGTGGTAAGCAAAAGATGATATGGTGAAGCTGAAGTAGGATCACTTTATTTTTCTTCAATGAAGATACAAATTACGTAACCATGTGAAGTCAATACAAGAATATTTTGAGAAAGGAAAGAGGGTTGTGGTGGTCATAGTAATGTCCCTATAATAAGACATTGGAGTACATGCATTCTCAATTTCTCATGCTGTAAGAATACTCGTGCTACAATTGATGTTGCGGGTGCTAATACTTCTTTCTCAATATATGGTCCATAGTTTCAGGGAGTATGTAGTTCATCATCTTAGTGGAGAAAATGCACAGGTTCCTTTCACCCAACATAATTATGCATTTTTTTATCAGTGCATTAAATATGGAATTTCATTGTGTTCTTTTTAAAATTTAAGATAAGTAGGTGAGTAATCTGGGGCAAAGTTGCAATCTTAGTAGAGCAATACAATTAAGGATATCAAGGTCAATAAGGCTCACTTTTGTATCAGTTGGTCCTTTGTTGCATATTTGCATTGTACTAATAATAAATGAAATTTTTTGTTGACTTATGATGTTATTGTTATGTATAAAAAAACAACAAAAAAAGGAGAATGATTTTCAATAGAATCCAGATGTGCTTCACACCCCCTTTATATTGGAAGACCATATCCAGAGACCTAAGCTCTCATTCAATTTATAATTAATGATTCATAGAGAACTGTTCCCAAATACAGATTTCTTGTAGCCACCCCTTGTCTAGCTAATGCAAGAATCAGGTTGTTTGATGCCAGTCTACCCTAGTAAAGCTGCCATTTGTTCAGCCTTCATGGAGTTTCCATATGGGACTGGAGAAGATTGCCATGTCTATTTCTGAATTCTCCACCTATACCCCAACGAGTTGGGATTACCCAAACAGCAGCCATCAAAGTTTAATTTGATACATGGGAAGAAGGAACAGTCCAAGAATAGATTTTTTTGGCACATAGTGGCCACACTCAGACTTGAACTGACATTCTTATGCTTGTTAGCCCAAAATTTTACAATTGCACCAAGCAATGGTTCCTTCTGAGGTCCCATTTATATGGAATCAAGTAAAATAAACGAGGAAGAAAAACATATTTCATTGGTCTAAGTCAAGAGAAACAGATTTTTGGTGTAAAATTTTTTGCTCATGCCTGGAAAAAGATCTTGCTTTTACCATGATGGAAAGTTGTTTCTGTTCCATTCCATTTGTTGACAGGTTATATCTGGTTGTGCAGACAGATAGGGCGGCCATGCTTGATGAAATTGTGGATTATGTGAAGTTCCTCAGGCTCCAGGTCAAGGTATAATATGTTTAAAGTTCAAGAGCTAAATTCCATATGAGCCATGCATTTTCTTTTTTTTTTTTCCCCTTGGGGGGTGCTTACAATGTTATCTAGTTGCAGATAAGTTCCTTTCTGTAATTGTGGTTGTTGTCATCACCATTTGGGGGCTGCTATAAAATTCTATGTTGTGTTACGCTTTATGCCAGACCATATCATCTACTTCATGCATATGCTTTCAAATAACTTTTCAGTCCACAACATTGTCCGACTGTCCTACATTCGAGCCTTCAGCCTGCATAAATGTGTTTGTTCCTAGATAATATATGCCAGGAAAAAAATATTTAATTTCAAAATATGATCAATTGAAACGTGTTATATTCTTTCAAAACTCCCTTTCGTTGTTGCCATTTAAATTTCATTCTCCTGACATATTGTTAAAACATAAAGCAGACTTAGAACTGTTCATATTTTATAAAGGTTACAAGTTATGTACTTTGGATACTTGTACATGCCTAGTGTACCAGTAGTCAGAGTCCTTTATAGCAAAAAAACAAATTACATATTACATATGAGCCCAATACAATTGGTTTTTATTCACCCCTATCCCATTTGCTGATCTCCTCACCCATTGTATTCCCAGATTCATGTTTCTAGTGAGCCATTTGAAATTTTTAATCTCATTCCTAATAACACCACATTATGGACTCTGGTTCCTTAAGCCATCCCACCACCAATTTTGAATCCCCTTCAATTATCACATTAACCATATATTTGCAAGTTGTACTTCTTGTAAGATAGCAAGCAATTCATCTATAAACAGTCAGCCAAACCCACTAGGCCCGAGAACAAGTCAATAACATTACCTTCTGTGTCTCTCATTACCCCTCCTATCATACATTCATACTACAAAAAATCTGTTTATTTTAGAAGTTTGATTAAATCTAGTGGAGATGTTACTTATGAAGAAAAAAAAAGAAAAGAAAACTAGTGGAGATATTAATATTGAGAAATAACATTTAGTGAAAGCATGATATATGCATGCTAAATGGATTGTGGGACACCTGCATTTATCCATGTCCTGGATCTTATATCTTATATCAGTATTGATGTCCATGTCTGTACCGTATCTGGACATCATAGCTACAAGGTCAAGTTTCGAGTGTCTTCAAATCCCTATGACTAGAGTGGAAATCTCCTTTTGGTCCTGTTACAGCGAAAATACTTCATTCTTGTTCTTACCAAGTCATAAATTTGTTATACGTGTTTCATCTTTAATTATTGACATATCTGTCTGTATTAACAGGTTTTAAGCATGAGTAGACTGGGGGGAGCTGGTGCAGTAGCACAGCTTGTTGCTGACATCCCGCTGACCTCAGTTGAGGTAATAGAATAGGATGACGCGCATTTTTACTCTCTTATGACTTGCACGTTTCTTTCAGTACATTTTTGTTCTATGCATGTGGGGTGTCTGCATTTAGTGTGGTGACACACTGACACTACATCTGCATCTACGGTTTTGTACTGGTTTGATCTCTTCAGGTCAATAAATAATAAGGATTTCTTCGTTTGTAAGGCTTCTATTAAAGATCAAAAGAGAAGATTCTAAACAAAATTGCTTGTATGTGTGGTGTAGCATATATCTACATATTGTACTAGAAATTGCAGATTCAATCATCTGTGTGATGCATTTGTAAAAGTTACGCATTCATGGCCGGACTGAATTTTTGGTAAACTTTTCCCCGGTTAATTTATGACTTGTTCTTTATTCTTTTTCCTTGGTCCACGACAAAAGGGAGAAGGCAGCGAAGGTAGAAGCAGCCAGCGAGCATGGGAGAAGTGGTCAAACGACGGAACAGAGAGACAAGTAGCAAAGCTGATGGAAGAAGATGTTGGGGCTGCGATGCAATTTCTACAATCAAAGGCACTCTGCATCATGCCCATGTCTCTAGCCGCTGCTATCTACCACACACACCCTCCAGAAGCCCCTACGACTCCGATTGTGAAGCCCGAGTCAAGCGCCCCCTCGTAGTCGTAGAGATGTCAAAGAAAAGGGGGTTCATACTTGCACGTGCCCATCATGCCCCAGGTCCCACCTTTTATTAATGCTCTGATTCTGATTTCTGACCCCACCACGCACTATTTTAGTATTTGCTACTCAGAATTCAGAAATCGTCTTACACCCACGCGGCATTGCAATCAAAGTCAGATACCATATATATTCGCTTTTGACAGTTTTCTCAAACAGGACCTGATGTCATGCTCATGCCTAGAAAAACTGCGGGCACTTGTTATTTCCTGCTAGATCAGAATTCAGAACCAAGGGAAGGAGTCTCACTGGCTCACTGCTATTGCAATGTTAAATCTTTTTTTTTAATGTTTTTCAACCCCACCTGGGTGGGGGAGGAGGGGTAGTGGTGGATGGCCAGAATACATTTTTTTCGTTGGTGGGGACCGTCTTTTTTGATAGTGGGTGGTGGGACATTCTAAAAGAGAGTGATGGGCACATGGGTATATGTAATGTAACTATGATGTATTCACTATTCAGAGGAAGATTTAATGAAAGTTGAAATAGATAATGGCCGGTCATTTTTAGAAAGCTATTGTTGGAATTTGGATGTAGTCTTACGTGAAATCAGTTGTGCTTCTTGGTTTCTTCTATGTGATGAGTGGGATGTATTTTCTTTTCCTTTTTAGTTTTTAAAATCTCATTTTAGTTCTCCAAAGTCGTTAGTTGAGAGAGAGAATTCAAAGTCGTTAGATGAGTTCACATCAGAGCCCCACAGAGAGTGCCCCACAGGCGCCCCGCATGCACATCTCAGAATATACTTCAATAGTTTGTCACTGGAAGATGTTTCCAATACATGATTGAGATGTGCTGTGGGGCACTGGTGCACAGATGCGTTCTATGGTCTGCTGATCACAATGCATCATGGTTTAAAGTATTAATACGTATCATGCTGATGACCTTTTGATATGCCTCTCTAGGGATTGTATCATCAGGCCTTAAATAAATAAAATCTAAAAGTATTGATGTGGCTTGTATCGATACTTTTAACCTTGCATAGCATTGCTGGCTATGTTCGCTCAGCCGTACATCGAAATTTTTTTGTCCTTTAGTTCACCGGTATTCTCCAAGTGAAGTTAGGTGAATGTGGCCAGCATGTGTTGTACTCAGCAAAGCAAATTAGGAATTAGAGTCACAATCACACTCACGTGCTGTGCTGCATTGCACTTTGTCTTTGATTATTTTAAAGGCAAAATCTACTAAGCATTACTTGTGAAATGTGAATAAATAAAAAGTTTGATCATGTAAAGCTTATACCATATGGTTGAAATTTTGTTGTTAACTTACTATAAAAATTTTGAATTTCACCTCAGTTGGACTCTTTTTAAACAAAGTCCAAAGTCAAGTACTCAAATGACACCATAATTCATTTTGTTCTTACCTAGCAAAAATGCTCTGTAATCAACTATCTTAAATTTAAATCATGTGATGTGATGTAATTAAAAATTAAAATCCCTAAGCTCCATGAATGATGTAAATATAGCTCTTGATAATTGAGGTGGTGTTTGGATAAGCTTTCAAAAGTCAAAAGCAATTATTGTTTTTTTTTTCGAGAAGTTCACAGGTAACTTTTCAAAGCCAACTGAAGGATGGCTCAGTTGGTATGTTAATTAGTTGATTTCAATAGAGACGTGGATTCAATTCCCCCTACCACCACCAACTTTGGGGAAGGGGTTATTAGAGTGGTGCTGTGCTACTCAATGGTTCTATGGGGGATTCAGGCGTATCACCAAATACCAAAAAAAATGTTGAAGATTAAAAAAGAAATCACTTTGTTTACTTGACTGCATTTAGGCCTTGTTTGATGATTAAGTACTTGTTAAAAGAAGTACTTATTTTAACAACCACTAAAGCTGTTTGGTAACTCACTTTTCAAATCACTTGTTATGTTTTTAAGCACTTATTGGGGTGGAAATGTTTGGTAAGCTATTTTTCCCATAAGTGCTTATATTGACACAAATGACAATTTTAGCCCTCACTTCACTTATACATATATACAATGCTTTTCACATGTTATACTATACATTTTAACTGAGAGCCCATGTGGATCCAATTAAATAATAATAATAAATAATAATTAATCATCAATAGGGGAAGACGACAGAGAGAGGGGGAGTTGATTCCCCTTTTTGAAAACCAAAGAGTTTTGATTGGTTTATGACATCGGATTCCTGTTTTTGAATGGCACGGATGTTGCTGTTATTTGAACAAGCTGCTGCCATGGTTTAAAGTATCAATACGATACACCCAATACAGGGCATATCGTATTGTATCTTTTGAAAACGATACGATCTGAAACGCCTATTTCCAGGTGTTTCGGACCCCCCTCTTTTTAATAATAAAAAACACATTTTAAGCTTCCTAAAAAACCAAACTTTGAAAGAAAAAAAAACATATATGTTTCGGTCATTTCTAAGTACCGATACGATACGGCCGAAATGCGTATCATATCGATACTTTGAACCTTAGCTGCTACAACTCCTTGCAGCTACGGCAACGACCTCTGGAAGTGGTTGGAGACAAAGTGGAGGGGTGAGATAGAGGGGGAGCTAATAAACGGAAGGAGAGAGAGAAAATGATGAAAAGGGATAAAAAAAAAGGAAGAATAGATCAAAGGGGAGAAGTTGTCGCCACTGCAACTCCCCTATTCTCGTCAAGAAGACGATGAACAGGGGTGAAAATCTCCTTTTATCTCGTTAGGGAAGAGAGGGGGGATGATCAGGATGGGTAAGAGAGAAGGAGAGAGGAAGAATGAAAGTAAACGTTGTGTTGATGTCGAGGGGAAGAAGATGATGAATAGTGCTTTTGGGGCACGGGGGTATTTTAGGCATTATAAAAATTTATCAAGGACTGGTTCGTCCTATTTTTTTGGAAAAATACTTAAAAAAAGTCAATTTGAAGTCACTTTTTCAAAGTACTTTAAAAAAAGTACTACACTTTTTTACCAAACACCCATAAGTACTTAAAAACCACTTAATGTGTGGTCCCATGTCTTAATACTTCTTTTAAGTGTTCTCAAACAGGGCCTTACTCTAGGAAAATAAGGGTCAAATCCCCAAAACTTCAAACCCTAGCAACAGCAGTGAGCTCCAACCCCTTCCACGATCATTTGAGCCTTTGTTTCATTTTTTAGGTCTTACATAGAGTTGGTGTTTCTCAAGTATGCAGACTTGGCAATTGGGTTGGGTGGATCAGATTCGGGTTGGGTTGCCAAATGCTAGACCCTAACCCTAAATGTTCGGGTTAGGATTGACCCATGGGTCATCAATTCGGGTCATCCCAAAAAATAATTAAAATTAAAAAAATAAAGAATAAATGCATGAAAAATGCCAAAATTAAAGGAATTAACCTTAAAATTCCAAATATAAAATAAAAAAGCTTGAACATTTAACAATTCAAAGAGTAAACAATAAAGAGTAAAGAATAAATAGTAAAAATTAAAGAGTGGAAACTTCTAACAATGCATAAATAGTCCAAATTAGGCCTAACATTTGGGTCAATGGGTTGACCCATGACCCAACCCAACCCAATTGTTCCAGGTTGGGTCAGGTTGGGTGATTCCCAAATTCAGGTAGTTCAATATATGACCCTAACCCTATTTTTCCGGGTTGGGTTGGGTTGAGTTCGCGGGTTGGATCAATTGTTTTCTATGTCTACAAGTATGTCATCTTACCCCTAAAATGGATTTGTACACTTTCAAGACTTCAAGCTTTATGTTTATTATGTTGCTTTTGAATTTAGATGTTCGACTTCAAACCATTTATTGTTGAGAACTTAATGCTTAATTATGCATTTTATATTGTTGTTCATGATGGATATGATGTGTGTAGCACATCAATAGAATATGATATGAAGATGATAAAAGTAGGATGAAGTTGTATATGGTAAGAATACAAAAAAACTATGGTTATTTTTCGATTTTTTTTTTCTATCGGTGTCGCTTATGGGTGGTGAAGATCCTCAAATTCCTCTTTTATTTTTTTGTAAAAATAATATCATTGAAAATAAATTAATATATGTGTATTTGTTAAATATGGGCATAATAATAATTAATTTTGAGTAGATACATACAAAGATTTATACAGTGAAAAAGAGATTCCCTCAAAACAGCTAACAACTTATCAAACCATGGATGATATGGGAATGTTGTGGTTGCAATACTATGTTGGGTTGTTTATTGGATCATTAATTTGTGTATTTTTACTCATGGTTTTAAAAAATGACTTAGAAACGGAATCCTTCTAGCCATCGGTTTTCAGGTTGACGGTTTGACAGTTCTRTTCGAATGAATGGTCTGTTCTGACAAAAATTAAAAAAAATAATTAAAAATAAAAAACAGCCAAAACCATTAAATGGGTCAACAGATCAATGATTCAACTGCCCGAATCAACTGGTCGTTGACTAATTGAATGGTTTTTGGCTAAGGATCGGATTTGGGGTAAAATGAAACCGTTGTTCTTACTATTGCTTGTTACAAGTATTATATAGTCAAGTTATTCCATGTTTTTTTTTAATTTATTGTAGATCAAATATTATCTAGACAAATACAATGTGACAGTTTTATCGTGATTAATGGGAATTGATAGGGAAAAAATAATATTTAGTGTTATAAAAGTCAATATTATGGTTACCAAACACCACTTAGTTGCTTTTACTTTAAAAAGCATGTTTTGGAAGTCAAATTTACCAAGCGGGTTAAATAGCCAAAAGTCCAAAGTAGACAGCCCAGAAGTGTCTTTCAACTTTGGACTTTGAAAAGTTTGTAAGCTAAAACTTATCCTAACGCTTCCAAAGGCAATATTTGGATAAGCTTTTACTTTTGAGCTTGGAGAAGTTATAAACAAAAATGTGACAATATATCAAATGTGTTAACCAATCACATAATATTATCATACTTTTCCATCAGCATAGATTTACCCTTCTTTTAAGAATAGAATCCAAAGTTAAAATACTTAATCCAAAAAAAACACAGCCTAAAATTGGATTTTGTGCTTTGGGGCTTTGAAAACACAAATCTGAAGACATCAGCTGTTTAGGCAAAACAAGCTCTGAGTCTTTGGCATATGTTTATGCTAGAAATCTTTAAATGGGCCACCTGAAATGGCAGACACGATTGGATTCTCTGTTCCATCAAATCCAAAAATTGTAATAGTATTGAGGGGAAAGAAAAAAGTAGGCTTCAATGGCATACTGAGATGCTTTGAAACCAGAAATTAAAGCCTTATGCCAGCCATGTGGGGTTTGGCATACATGAATCCTATTTTTCCATTTCACTATCATGGACTTTATCCTTTATTAAATTGTGACTTGTGAGGCCCTAAATTATTTCTCACTTCCTCAACTATGCCATCTCATCTCCTTTGCCTACCTACTCCTATCATTTCTTCTGACCATGGTTTTGGTCATCTTCCATGCACATCCAGCCATTTTCAAAGTGACGAGAAAATGTATCACTTTGTTGAATCCATTTTGATCTCTACAATTGTTTAACTAAAAACCTTGTAATGGTACAAAGAAGGAAGAGGGGGAGGAGGAGGTTATTTCCTGTGTAAGATTAAATGTGTCTATAAGATACGTCTCATATCAGGTATATGATATTGTATCTTAGGATCATCGAAATGCCAAATATATGGAATTAGGATCATCTCTAGAAATATCCTTTCTAGAAATGTTTTGATTCAATTTCTGATCTCTAATTATTTTTGGGAAAATGATGGATCAGCCCAGTTCAGAATTCTTAACCCCAACTTAGAGAGGGGATGAATCCTGACCATGAATTGATGCCAAAGCCACGGGTAGAATGCGATTTATAGGGGGAGGATTATTAATAGACTATGGGGGGCTGTAATTTCAGAATTCTGCATTGGGCTGCAGTGTACTTCTCCCATTATTTTTTTGGCTTAAGTGTATTACCCATTTGAAATGCTGGATATGCAATTTTTGTATATTGTGCCAATTGAAACTTTGAACCATGTGGTAATTTAAGCATCATTTAGCTTTTTTTTACCGAGACCGGATCCACTCCTCACACCTAGCGCTTCACAGGCGCCTCACACGCACATCCTATCATGCATTGGGAACATCTTCCGTACTTATTTGTTATTATTCACGGGAGATGTTCCCAATGCACGGTGAATGTGCATGTGAGGCGTCCATTTGTGAGGAGCAGATCCCGTCATTTTTTTACCACCCACCCTCACCCTTAACCTTGCAGGAACCCTAGAGATAGAGAATCTCAATAGGGGGGACGAGATCTTCTCCTCACAAAGCATTCCTCATATACCAACTTCACAGCATGTTCCAGCCATACATCAGAAACATCTCCCGTATTTATATGTTGTTATTCATGAAAAGATACTCCTAATATATGGTGAGATATGCTGTGAGGTCAGTGTAAAGAACACTCTGAGGAAAAATTCCAGATTCCTCAATAGAGACTAGTGAAACAATTACCCTGCTTTCCGAATTTCATATAAACAGAAAATACTGTTGTGGAAAAGTTACGTCTTAGACAAAATCATTATGTTCATCCTCTGGTAATATTGAATAGGATTATATGCCAAATTAATGATTTATATGAATGGCGTGGTGTAATATAAACCATCGAAACAAAGGTAGGAGCTGCAGGACCAAAAATGATAGCGATCAGTTGCGTATGCGAAACAGATTCATACAAGAACTCTATCAAAACGCATATTGTTGGATTTGGATAATTCAAGGATATCAGTTTTGTTTTATACCAGCAGCTTGAGAAATGTCAACCTTTCTTTCTGTGGTTGGCTCAGGGCTCATGAATAAAATGGCTTGAGAATAACTTTGATGGGACATAAGTTGAAATACATACAACATTCAAACCAGTTTCACTAATAAAGTCATGTTACTTTTATGTAGATCAGATCATATTATCACGATTGAATTGGGGTAGATCCATATTTGATCCAATTATATATTGATTAGATTCAGAGATCAAATTTGGACCAAGGTTCAAAAAATCAAATTGACACACAATGCCAAAAAATGGGTGTCATCATCATCATCCATGCCTTATCCCAACTATATAGGGTCAGACACATGAATCTTGTTTCACCAATCCATTCTATTTAAAGTCATAACCACCGTTGAATTATAGTGCTTAAATCATTTCTTATTACTTCTACCCATGTCCTTTTTGATCTACCCAAACTCTTTTAATCCTTTCAATGCATAACAAATCACTTCTTCTAACTGGTGCAATTGGTGGTATTCTATGCACATGCTCAAACCATCTTAGTCTACTCATGCTACAAATAACTTCATTCTTAATCTTATTCCTTTCTTTTTTAATTTTTTCACTCATTCATCTTAGCATTTGCATTTCCATTACATTCATTTTCTTTTTTGATTGTCCAACATTCTCCATACAACATAACTGGCCTTACAACTGTTTTATAGAATTTTCCTCTTAATCCAAGTGGTATTCACCTATCACATAAAAGTCCAGATGCACCTCTCCATTTCGCCCATCCTACTCTAATTCTTTAAGTGACATCCTCAATATCTCCCTTGTTATGAATTAGTTGATACACCTTTGTTTTTTTATTTTGTCAACCTGATAATTGTCAAATAAGCTAAAGAGGTTGCCTTCTATCATCCGAAACATTCAAACCCCCAAATTCAATTTATTTCATGTCTCAATGACCTTCAAAACCAAAACGATACTCCCAATATACAGTTTATCATATTGATGCTATAATCCTTGATTCAGACTGCTTTGTTCACAGTAGATTCAGTAAGAGTAAAATGAAATTGGAAGTCAATCTCCACCAGAAACCATGTACAACCCTATGCCAAATAGATAATCCAGTAAAAGAGTAAAATGAGCTTGAAAGTCACAAACGAATAAATAAATAATTAATCTCCAGCAGAAACCATGCTGACAGAGGATTTCTTCATGGTTAATCACAAAACTTCGAAGCAGAGCTGATAAATATCCCAATTTCGGATTATTGAGGACAACAATGTTTCATTTTGAGTTTAGCAAGCGTCAAGGTCCCTGCATGGAGGAGACTTTGGCTCACTAAGCAAAGTGGTGTTCCCTCCTTCTGGCCCACTCTTTATACGGAGTGGATTCTGCGTGCCAACCTGCAATATAAATCCGGCATTTTAAAATAATTACAATTTACAACTAATCATTCAATACATCAAAGAAATTAGCTTCCAAAAAGTAGCCTTACAGGTGGAGTTTCTCCTCTTCTCAACATCTCTACAATCTCAACTACCCGTTTTGGAGTGACATCTTCCTGAATTAACACAGGAGAAAATGAATACAACTTCACTGGGATAACCATTCAGTTAAGATTCAAAATCATGGGACCACAAAACAGGAGATTAATAGAGACTCACATAGTAATCATAGGTGTATCCTTCTGAACCCTTGGAATAGTCGACCACTGTAATCATTGGAGCATTTACACAACACCCCTGCAGAGGACAACTAGGATCATACCTTGATATTTATGGATCAAAAGTAAAATTATCTTAAATCAGATCAAATGGAAATAAACATGCAACCTAATATTCTTCAAGCTCTAGATCTCAAAATCTAGACCAATCAACAGTTAATGACTGGTCCGTTGGTTGGTTAAAAATGAAAAATTGTTCTGGAATTACAGCAATTAAAAGAAAGCTCACCATGCACTCCATTTCCCCAACAGAGAACATGCCATCCTTTGTTACCTCTGCACAGAAAGAGAACAAAAGACATTGGCTAGAAATAAAGTTGTGACTTCAAGTGCAATGACTGGAAATGGAAATGCAATGTGGGAAGACTTTGCACATTAAACCCACCATTGCGTTTCACTCCAAGATGTTTCAGTAAGGCCTCTTCTATTTCACGTGAACCACGTATCATACAAGGTGCTGTACCGCAAACCAGTAGGTGGTATTTACCAACCTACATGCCCGATGGATAAAATCACATGGAACTATCACTAACGTATGGAAGTATGACAATGCAAACTAATGTATAGAACTATCACTAATGTATGAAATTATGTACATACCTTGGACTGGTTGAACATTGAATAAAATGTTGCAACTTCATATACACGAATAGGAGCGACCTCTACAATCTTAGCCACCTGAACCACCCATCACAATTTGAATTTATTACATGTAACATAAAATAGAAACAAGTGAAAAGGATGGAAGAGGTCAAGCTTGGTACCTCAGTACATTGAGCTGGAAATTGCCAATGGGCACAAATAGGCGAAGGATATAATTTAAAAAAAAAAATTGGAGAACAAGGAACTGGCAGAAGAATATTTTAAAGTATTTGTGGTAGAAGTCATTCTCCATAAATTCAAAGATGTAAACCTAAAGCGATTATTTTTGGTTGAGGATGACATAGTGGAAGTCAAGGAAGTAAATCCATTGGTGACATTGGCATTTACAAAGATCTCTATTTTATCTTTTTGTATCTTCTAAGGAGGACTAGAATCACCATGACTAGAAATTAGGCTTTGTACCTTCGGAGTTTTGAGGCAGGATGCCCCCCCCCC